ATAAGTTCTAGAATAAATAGAAGAAATTAAATTAACAAATAAACATGAATAAAACCCCCTACACCCATACAAAAACGGGGGGGGGGAATCCCAACTTCAGCCATATATATTATGTGTTCCTGTCCATTTTACATTTCCCTCAAATGCAAATCATATTTAACAGTTTACCTTTGGGATATAGGCAGTGCTGGGATTCAAATATGTGAACAACCAGTTCTCTGTGTGGATGCCACTTCCGAAAGTCCATTCTGGGCCTGGGCAACCAAAAATTAGCTACCGGTTCTGCCGAAGTGATCCTTGACTTACAAACACAACTGAGTCCAAAATTTCTGTTGCTAAGCGAGATAGTTGTTAAATGAGTTTCAGTCCATTTTTTGCCACAGTAGTTAAGTGAATCAGTGCAGTTGTTAAGCTAATAACATGGTTGTTAAGTGAATCTGGCTTCCCCATTGACTTTGCTTGTCAGACAGTGGCAAAAGGTGATCACATGACTCCAGGAGAGCAACCTTCATAAATGTGAGTCAGTTGCCAAGTGTCTAAATTTTGATCATGTGTTCATGGAGATGCTGCAATGATTGTGTTAAAACTGTCATATCACTTTTTCCAGTGCTGTTGTAACTTCGAGCAGTTACCAAGTGAACTTTTTACTCCTTTTCTACACTGTATAAAACATTGCTCATCTTGCAAATACCCAGTTTGTCTATAAGATTTAATCTTAATTATTCTATTGTATTTTTTTCTGGTTCAAATGTGCAACCTCTTGTTTCTATTTTGAATGTTGCTTCTTGCTTTATTTACCTTACATCTTGCTTTCAAGTCTTTCCTTTTCCTCCTTCAGTTATCCCTGACTTATCATTGCCTACTTCTTAAGTCACTGTACTTAAAAACTGGTTCTGTGTAATTATTACTGATATATAAACTGAAATTAATGATGACAAATGGAAATGTGAGTTTGTGTGTTTTATATATTTAATGATAATGCTAGAAGTTATGTTAAATCAATTCAACTCTCAGTAAGCAATAAGGTTTACATCTCTGTCACTTTAGATCCTCAAAGCTATTCCCTGAATTTAAAGGCTTGATAAAACTATTTCTGTTTCCATTTAAAATTTCTATTGAAGTCCATGTACTTACCTTCTTGTGGTAAATCTAGTAGTGCCTGTCTAAACATATCTATCTGAGCTTAAACAAGTGATAAATTAAAATAAACAAAGAAAAAACCTTTTGAACTCTGTGGCCTTTCAGTAAAAAAGATAGCTCATTCGATTTCCATGCCCTTATGAACAAAGTTTTGCCTTTGAATTTTTACAACTGCAAACATTTTCATAAAAGTTATATGCCAATATTTACTATTCTAAGACAAAGCAGTTCCTTTAAAGAATTACTAACGTTGGACAGAGAAACAAATTCATCTTTTTATAATCCCTGGATAATACTTTTAATGGATTATCCCTGGATAATCTTTTAATAATCCCTGGTTATTACATATTTACGTAATCCTCTTTTATAGCCAAAGATGGTATTTGTTCAGTTCTTTTGATAAATTTACTATATTTTATGTTCTTTATTTTAATAAAAAAATGTATTCGTAAACTAGGTGAGATTAGAATGTCAAGGTATGTTCAGACCATATAGACACAAACTATAATAACATGTGCTATAGCTCAAGGTATTTAAGAGAACTTGGAATTTATCCATCTCATTGCAGGAAGAAAAAAATCCAGATAAAAGCAAAATCAAGACATTAAATTAGATAAGGGAATACTTTATAGCATTCTATAAATACACCAACTTCCCATGTGGATCTCTATTGTCATAAGCAACAACAACAGAAAACGATAGTATATAAAAATTGTCCAATCTATTTCTTCTTTAACATATGTTGGAAAACTGAAATTTGTGGGACATGTGCATTTGCATTTCATTTGCAGCTCCTCCAGCAACTCAAAATCATCTTGATGTAATTTAGCAACAAAATGATAATTTCTCGATGGTATAATTTTCACTTAATCTTGAAGAAAACTTTTAAGGGGAATGTTAGTGAAATGATTCTATGAAGCCAGCACAACCCTGCCTACATTTAAAATCTCTCAAGTCAAGTGAAACTGTCCATGAAGAATTTGTTATCCATTCTAGAAGGGCTCAGGCCATCCAATTTGAATGGGAGGAAACTTAAACTTATAATTTTTTTGTACATAATTAGAACAAAGCATAAGGTATTTTGGTCTTTTATAGCACTGTATCCATACTCTAGAAAACCTCAAAAAAAGGCCCATGTTCAGACACATTCAAATTATAAACTGCATTCCACAGGTTTAAACGATATTAGTATATTTCCCCCCCCCCAAAAAAAATTAAATAGTATGAATCTAAACAACCAAACTAAACCACAGGTCTACATTTTATCTGATTCTTTATAAACTTTATCAAATCTGGCAATTCCACAAGACTTATTAAGAATAAATTGAAATAACTCAGTTCCCACAAAATATTGGCAAGCTATATTCAATGTTCTTCGGGAGAAACCTAATTCTGAAATACAAGCCAATGATGTCTTCATAGCTATAGCTCTATTCCACAGATTACATCCAGCAAACCACAAGGAGCAGGAAATGTTCATTTTAAATACCATTGGCTCACTTCAGGCTCAAAGCCACTGTCAGCAACATCCTTATTCAGACTATATGGCTTTACATTAATAAGCTTAAATAGAAACAGTAACTGCTTTATTTTAAATCAATTCATAAGATTTTAGCCATTCTATCTACTTACCTTTACACTTCATTCAATCAAGGAACCTGTACTATTGTCGTTGGATCTAATTCTGATTTTCCTTAAATTTGCTAAAATCATATTAAAAATGTCTATTTTTAAGATTTACGAAACCAGAACTCCAGAGCACATGAAAATGGTCACAGAATCCCACAGTATGTTACCTTACATATAACCACAATTTGGTGTTAAGTACAAGAGCTTCAGATTGATAAGCTTCCCATTCCAGTTGATCATTATAATACTGGAAGCTTTAATATCAGTTTCTCCTTATATCCAGACCAGAAACTTTAGTGTTAATGAATCAAAACCATCCTTAATTGAAATGTTTCAATAAAGCATAGTTAACTCTTACCTTCCTAGCCATCTCCCCCCTCATACTAATAACATAAGAGCAAATTTGATGTGAAAAACAGGCACTGATAGAAGGTTAAACATTCCCAGCCTGTATTCTTAACCTCAAATGTAGTATTCCTAGACTTAAAACAAGAATAGAAGCTGGCAAAATATGGTACACATTATTTATCACATCTAATTCAGGATTTATATCTAAAGGAGAAGAATATTAATAAATAATTGTCTAATACAATACAGAGTCTTTACATTATATTAGTTTATGACATGTACTGAAAAGGTAATCTGGAATTAAAGAAAAGTAACAAAGAGAAATAGAGCACTTGGATCATTGTGACTGCTGAGTTTAAGCAGCTATACAAACAAAAAAGAGTGTCAGCACTTCTCAATAATGGACATAATTAAAAAAATAAGGAAAAATAAAAAGAAACTTAATGTGTGTATTGCTCAAGCAGTGTATTTCCCTGCCTTCAGGAAAAAAAAATCCGAATTACCCGTATTACAACTGGTTCTCATGCAAATAATTTCTCAGGATGGGTTTTCAAGTCATATTCATACAAATCAGTTTCCCCAACACTAGTGTCCTCCAGAAGTGTTAAATCATAGCTCCTGTAGTCCCCATAGCTTTACTGCAGTTTAACAAGGATGAAAGGCACCAAGTTGGGGAAATCTGATATGCACATTTATATCCCTTTAGATAATATCTGCATTGATTTAACTCTTTTAGATGTGCAAAACAATGGGCATGTAATTTTCTAAAATCCAACTACTAGGACAACAAGCCATTTTTGAAAATTCCTTGCAACACAGTTCTAAGCAACTGTAACCATGCCAACACGTTGAAAACAAGCTAATCTATGCTATATTGTGGAAGTCACTGGAAGACCTATGAGGCTGTGTTTGAACATCAGATACCAGATACAAACTAAAGGAACTATTTGTCCCACTTTATGCCAATTGAATGCTTCAAAATAAACCTAGAAATGTAATGTGCTGGAATAGACTTTCTCATCCTATGAGTGATACAGTTTGTGATAATTGTAGAGCTGGAAAGAAGCAGATTGGAGTAGGTTGTTCCAGAAAGTTTGATCAGAAAACTTAAAATATCCTTAAGCATAGGTTCAGGCTAAAGGTCCACTTTAACCCTTTCACTGTGATGGAGCTAATGGAAAACAAATAGGATATTCATATTATATCATTAAATAATGATTAAAGTATATCATTAAAGTACAGACAAACCTGATCATAAAAAGTATATGAACATAGACACCTACAGATGTTTAATAGAAATAATACTATCTATGTTTACTTGATGAGAGGCAGTTTGTATAGTAGTTAAAGCACAAGGCTAGAACTGGAACATTATGGGTTCTAGCTCCACCTTAGGCACAAAACTACCTGGATGAATTTGAGCCAGTCACTCTTTTTCAGCCCTAATAAGCTAGCAATGGCAAACAACTTCTGAAAACATTGGCCAGAAAATTGCAGGAACTTGTCCAGGTAGTCACCAGGAGTCAACATTAACTCAAAGGCACAAAACAAACATTTATTTAATATCACTTACTAAATGGATTTAACATTAAAATGGATGAGGCTCAATCAAGAACTTCTTTATGCTCATAATAGTTCAGATGAAACTAACAGTTACAAACTACGTCTTAAATTTAAGATGAGGAGGAAGTGATTTCCTTATTTTGGTGGTTAGAGAGTTTGAACACTGAAAAAGAAAATGGCAAAGAAAAATTAAAGTAAATAATAAATGAGATAAAATGGAAGTATTATGAAAATGACCAGAAATGGAACAATAACAATGGGAAGTAAATTTTACTGCAAAGAGCAAATAAAATACAGGTGAAGGGGGAAAAAATACTCACCAAACCACCACAAGTGCTAAAGGAAGCAAAGGATCCAGGATAATGCAGCACAGACCCACTATAGTAACAGGATCTCTCTGTTTGTGTGTGGACCAAATTTGGGGCACTCCTTTCATTCAATAGTCGTTCTTCCACTGCAAAACCTGGTGCTAAGAAGCGACTGTCCCTCTTCAGCAGCAGATAGAGCTCCTGAGCGAAAGCTGGTATTCTCAGCAACATCTCATCCTCATCTTCTGGAGGAGATACGGGTGGATGAGATGGTTGCTGAGAAGTGCCATTAGATCCCTGAGGAAGTGGAGACCAGTGATAGAAATCCTGAGATTCATATTCATCCTCTGAAGTTTCCCGAACTGGCGGTTGCTGGTGCTGGTGGTCAGATGAGGAGGAAACTGAGCGGATCTCACGGGAACTGCCCACTCCCTGACTGGATGTAGAGGTAACATTAATATTGCTGCTGCTGCTGCTGTTCCCACAGTTACCATCAAGACTGCAGCTGCCTCCTGCACCACTCCCTCCAGTGGATTCCTGCTGGCTTCTGCTCCACAGGGCTGGGTAAACTATCTCCCACTCTTCAAAATCTCCCAGAGGTTGCAGACCTGCAAAAATTCACATAGACTGAAATTTACACACTCTAAATCGCTCCCAACAGTAAGAGTTGCCATAAATGGATGCCAGATTTAGGACCCATCAGCATAATTTTGATATACATCAATATGACATAACAGCATTGATCCATACTGCTATTACCAATATAAATTAATTTTCCTATGTACTCACTGCAAGAAAAAGTAATGTGGTATTTTGGGGAGCCACTTTGTACTAATTGGCTGGAAATGCTATTTTTACATATATGTTGTATTCATATATTATTTTTTGTTAGCTGTCCAGAATCAAATTGGTAAGATGAGCGGCTATGTATGTATGGATGCATTTTTAGAAATCTGGAAATAAAGCTTGAAGAGTATCCACAGCTTCTAACTGAATTAAAAGGTAGGCATCTCATCTTACCCATTTGAACAATTTTAGTCAAATAATGTGATGTCCCCTAATGTGCCTTTCCTAATGTGATGTCCCCTAAACTATGTTGCTGGCTGAGAGTTATAGGCCACCATCCATGCTAGACTGGGAAACGCTGTTAGAAGTCCCAACTAGCTAGTCAGTCCAAATCTCTCCAATATCAAAAGAAGTAGCCTCTCTTTCACTCTAAGCATCTCCAGCATAAGGATAGTTGTTATGCGTTTAAGTGGCTGAACTCCCAGGAATTGTTTCTACATTATCAAGGGGCTGTACAAAGTTATAATTTAAAAGGCAGAGACTACAAAAATATTAGCCAACCATTTATGTGAGCTTTAGGGCTAATAAAAAGTTAAGATGCCACCTGATGGCAGGGAAAGAAGTAAGAGGGAAGAGAAAATTGATTTACTCAAACTTTTATTTGTTTTATCAAAACAAGCATCTTACATAGATTAGGATTATAGGTAAAAAAAAACTGGGTAAAAAACTATAATCTTTTATTGTATGTCCCATTCCTAAATTAATGTGTTTCACTGACTAGCCAATAAGAATTCAGTAAGAGTACAAATGACAATAGGAATAAACACAGTGGAACATGGCAATTTTATATTATAAAATTAGGGTATAAATTTATAATTCAGAGCATTAATTTGTTATACATTCTGAACAAAAATATATAGTGAACTGAAACCTCTCTAAATTGTGGATTTGTATACAAAAAGAAAATTGTTCTATGTGAAAATCTTTGCTGTTTCATAATTATTTGAAGTGCACAAGAAATAAAACATTCTGAAATCTGATGAAACAGATAGTACACTGCATAAAGATACAGAAGTAGAAAAAAATATTCCCTTGCTGATATTGGAACAGTCCTAAAGAAATAATAATTAAACATTTGACCCTAGTCATTTTAAAATTAAATCAGAGAATATTGCTTCAAAAGACAGTATGATCTGTTTTTTCAGCAAAGGCAAATAAGACTTCTTTTTGCTTCTATCAAAGGCAAATAAGATTAGCAAACAGAAACAACTTAATCTGATCGATATTTCAAAATACAGATCCTATATATTTCCAATTTCACAAGCTTTTGAGTGTTTTTAATCTTTAATGGGCAATTTTTGTCGGTAGGTAGGTAGGTAGGTAGGTAGGTAGGTAGGTAGGTAGGTAGGTAGATAGATAGATAGATAGATAGATAGATAGATAGATAGATAGATAGATAGATAGATAGATAGATAGATAGATAGATAGATAGATAGATAGAGTGTATGAGAACTAAAACTTCACAGACATTCTCATGCAGATGTGAAACAAGTAGCTCCTTCTAATGGAATACTTAGCCTGATTACACTCTGGAGAAATGGAGACATATCCTTGTAAAGTATGTCCTACCAAGATGCTGCTGAATATTATTTGATCCTAGACAATTCATTGGCAGTCATTTGAGGAAAAGAAGTTAAACATAACTTTACTGTTCAACATCAGAGCATTCTGAACGTGGCTGGCAAATTATTTCTGAGTGTCTGCAGGGCGTCCTATTATATCCTCACCTAGCAATAAAATTATGGGCCATCAGGCACCAAAAGTATTTGATAGATGGACAGGTAGATATCGTTCAATCATAGCGCACCGAACTGAAACGTATGCTTCTTTAAGACCCCTCTATTCCTATGATCTACCAACAACGATCCATCTCTACACAATCCCTTTGTGCCACCGTGGTCCCTTACCTTGTGGCAAGGCTCAGGCAATCAGAAAGGGGCCAGAAAGAGGTTCTGTTTATTAAGCAAACATCATTCAAACCGAAGGACTGGACTTACCTGAAGCGATCCGATTCGACAGGAAACACAACTGATAAAAGATGCAGCAAAGGTGGCTCAGCCGCCTTTCCCTTTTCTTCTCCATCCACGCCGCGGAGTGGGGGGGGGGGCGCTGAGCGACCAAAGCACCCCCTTCTCTCCTGGCGATGTCTCGAGGAACTTTGCAAAACCCAGGCAAAAGCTGCTCACCCACAAGACCGCCGAGCTTGCAAAGCCGCCCCCTTCCTTCAGTTTGTGGGAGGAGAGCAGCGCAAAGAGCGGGCTCGGTAGCCTCTTAGCAGCGGCAAGAGTGGCACAAACCCGAGCCTCTAGCTCCGGCTCCCGAGAGACGCGGGGTGAAGAGTGAAAGCTGAAGCCCCGACAAGGGAAGCCACCTCAGGGGGGCCGAGTCAGGCGGCAGCCACGCCAGCAGAGGTCAACCGAAGAGGGCAGACTGGCTGAAGGAAGCCCAAGGAACCGCGCGCGAAGAGAAGGCGCAACTTGCTTTGGTGGAAAAGCCGGGCGCGGAGCGGAGAGAGAGAGAGAGAGAGAGAGGAGGAGGAGGAGGAGGAGGAGGGAGGGCCACGCGCAGCGGCAGCGGCAGCAGCGGCAGCAGCAGCGGAGAGGTGGTGGCACCCCGCGCTCACCCCCCCCCCCCAATCCCGGCAGTGGACGGCGGGCGAGCGGCGAGGAGCTCTCCCTGGGTGGGAAGTGGGCGGAGGAGGACTAAAAGAGAACGAGCGGGTTCCCCAAAGTCCTGCCGCTCGCTCCTGATTGGCCGCCCTGGCGTTTCTTATTTGCATACCTCTCTTTTCTCTCCCCCCCCTTCTCCTTCCCTGGGGCGGTCAGACGGCTTGAGGCGCAGGTAAGTTTTGGGAGGGAGGTGGTGGTCCAGCGCAAGAAATCCAAGGAGGGAAGCAACGTTTGCCCCCCCCCCCGCTCCGTGAGGCTGAAATAGGGTTGCCAGGTGTCCACTATTTGAGTGGACAGTCCACTTTTTTCACATTATTTTTTCACAAAATAGTGGACATTTTTTTTTATTCAAAAGCTTTATGATGAAATGGTACGTAATCTAAAGCTGTACAGTCTACTTTTTTTACTACTTAACACACACACACACCCCGCTTGTCCGCTATTTTTTGGAAGCAGACCTGGCAACCCTAGGCTGAAAGAATGGAAGATGAATCAAGCAAAAATACTTGCTAATTGTACTTTCACCTTCTCGCGTTTGCACGAATCCAGTTTTCTCGAAAGACGGTCTGGAATCTGTTCTCCATCTCGGACTTATGCAGGTAGTCCTTGACTTTAACAACCGCAATTGACCCCCAAAATTTCGGTCAAGTGAGACATTTGTTAACGTGGGTTTTGCCCCATTTTATGACCTTTCTTGCCAGGACTTGTTAAGTGAATCGCTGCAATTGTTTCGTGAGTAACCTGGTTGGTAAGTGAATCGCAAAAAAGTGATCACATGACCTTGGAACACAACAATGCTCGTAAAGATGAACCAGTTGCCAAGTTAGTTGCCATCTAAATTTCATGCGGATGCTGCAAAGGTCGTAACTGTGAAGAACGGTCATAAGTCAAATTCTTCAGCGCTGTTGTAACTTTGAATGATCACTAAGTGAACTGTTGTAAGTTGAGGACTACCTGTGGAATAAATGTAAATATGAAAGAACATGTAAACATACAGAACTGAGCAATCTCAACTAGTCATTCTTTCTTAGTGTTTTGATACATGGTCTTGACACATATTTATGTTTATTCCACCTTTATTAATGTTATAAATAACTGAAGGCAGCAAACATACCTAATATTCCTTCCTCCTCTTATTTCCTTACAACAAACATCCTGTGAGTTGGTTAGGCTGAGAGACAGTAACTGGCCCATGTCACCCAGGTGGCTTTCATGCCAAAGGAAGGACTAGAACAGTAGTGGCGAACCTATGGCACGCGTGCCAGAGGCGGCACTCAGAGCCCTCTCTGTGGGCACGTGTGCCATGCCCTGGAGATGGTGAGGGACTGGCCCCCTCCGCCCTGGCCACGCCCACCCAGTCTGCCACCACCGCGGCCATGGCCACCCGGCATCCAGTGATAAATAAGTGGGTTTTGGGTTGCAATTTGGGCACTGGGTCTCTAAAAGTTTCGCCATCACTGGACTAGAACTTCCAGTCTCCTGGAAGCTTGGTGCCTTAATTACTATACCAAACTGGCTCTGTACTAAACTTCTAATAATATCATGAATGCATTTGTTCCTTTGACAAATGTATATCAGAAAATCTTATATATTTGCCATTAGGCCTCTATATCATACTACAAAATAATAAATTTGTAATACTGTAGTGTACATGTGAATATGCATGTTCTAATACATAATTAGGATATTGTGCTGGCCTGGACAAGGGCCCTCCTTTTTTGTCTGATAAGTTTATATCTTTTCAGATATCATATGTTATTCACTAGGCCAGTTTCTCTAGTCCTATACCAGCATCTATTTAGATTCAGTAAAACGTAAAACCCCATCGACCGTTCAATATATAAATTTAGAAATGCAACAAAATTGTAACAGCTGAAGATGTTTTATTCAGGAAAATGTCAGAATTCAGAAGCAAGCTTTTACCATGTCCTCACTGGGTTAATACAGTATTTAATATT